GGCAAGGCATAATGGAAACTGCCTGTAATTCCAGCAACTGGAGGGAGAGGTAGGAGGTCACCACAAATTGAAAGCTTACCTGGACCAAGTGAGCCCTGTGCCCTGTTCTAGTTACTTTTCTATTGCTGTGAAGAGACACGATGTTCCAGTGAAATGATTGAAGAAAAGTTTATTTGGGGCTTATGGTTTCAGAGCATGACTCTATGGCCTTCATGGTGGGGAACATGGTGACAAGCGGGTACTGGAGCAGTGTGAGGCAGGGGGAGCTAACTGAATGGCGGAACTGCAACAAGTCCACACCTCCTAATCCTTCCCGAACAGTTCTATCAACAAACAGGAACCTACGGGAGTCATTCAAACTACCACATCCCCCCCAAAATCTGGGGAGGTAACTCAGCCGTGGAATGCTTGCCTCATTCATGAAACTCCCAGAACTGTATTAGCCCCTATGGTGGCATATCTTTGTAATCCCAGCATCTGGGACGGAGGGAGAGATGGGAGAATCAGAAATTCAAGCTTATCCTTGGCCAGTGAGTAGGAGAACAGCCTGGGCTACACGAAACCTTTCCTAAAGTAACCATAAAACGAATGAAAACTGCTAGATTATTATTTCTTGTAATAACTTTACTGATTTTGCATATGGTATAATCCATCCATTTTAAAAGTTTGCTTAATGAATGAAAGTGCTTTTGTGCAAGCATGGCCACCTGAAGTCAATACCAGTAGCTCATTCAGTGGGAATGAAGACACTGACTCCTAAAAGCTGTCTTCTGACCTTCATGCATGTGCCGTGGCATTCATGTGCCCCTGAAAACACACGGAAACATACACACTGTTAAAAAGTTAGCAATGAAGTGGTATTGATATTGTCACAGAATTGTGTGACCATCACCACAATTAAATTTTGCTTTTCTTCACACAAAAATACATTATCACCCCGTATATCTTACCTTTCCATTCTTAAGCAACCACTAATCTATTTTTTCTTTTTCCTTTCAGATTTGTTCATTTTGGACATCTCAAATAAAATGTTTTTTCCTTCTCTTTCTGTTCCTCTTTTTGTTCTCTCTCTCTCTCTCTCTCGCTCTTGCTCTCTCTCTCTCTCTCTCGCTCTCGCTCTTTTTATTGAGACATGTTCTTTCTATGTAGTGCTAGCTGTCTAGGAACTTGCTACATACACCAGGCTGGCCTTGAACTCATTGAGATTCTTCTGCCTTTGTCTCTAGGGTGCTGGGAATAGGGCGTGGGTACCACATCTAACTGCTTCCTTTTCCCCCAGTGTGCTTTCAGCTGTGTTGTAGCATAATCAGCGTGCCATTCTGCTATTCGATCAGATGGACATAGTGTATTTTGTTTATCAGTTAGTAGACATTAGGATTACTTCAACATTTTGGCTCTTGCAAACAATGCTGTGCTATGATGACGTCCTGTGATTTTTAGGTTTCTTATTTTCTCATCTCCATTGATCTGGTGACCCTGACTCCTGTAATACTGAAGATGGAGAATATTTAGAAGACTGATTTGAAACCTAAAATCTTGTAGTCCGTCCTTCCTTCCTTCCTTCCTTCCTTCCTTCCTTCCTTCCTTCCTTCCTTCCTTCCTTCCTTCCTTCCTTCTTTTTAGACAGGGTTTCTCTGTGTAACACTCCTGGCTGTCTTTAAACTTACTCTGTAGACCAGACTGGCCTTGAACTGAGCTTTTGGCCTGTGTGTATATATGTGCACAATGGACATACCTGGTGCCTGTAGAAGTCAGAGGAAGACCCTCTGAACTGGAGTTACAGATAGATGGTTGTGAGCTTCCATGTGGGTGCTGGAATTGAACCTGGGTCCTCTGGAAGAGCAGCTAGTGCTTTTAATTGCTGTCCTATCCTTCCAGTCTTGGAAAAGCTTTAATGAGAATACTTCTGATACTTTGCCATCAAATATGAAGTTTGATGTTTCTGGTAAAAATACTTTTTATTCAAGTAAAGACATTTCCTTATTTTCTAGCACATTAAGGATTAAAATGTTTTTATTAGCATACTTTAATTATAAATAATAGTTTTCTTATGACATTTTCATACACCTACATAATGTATATTTTGATCATGCTCATCTTCTCTCTGTTACCCTTTGTTGAGCCTTCCTATTCCCACTCTGTTCCCACTGTAGCACTATTGTATGCACACCCAGACGTACATCTTCCTGGTTGGTCAGTGCGGTCATCCACAGGGTCCGTAGCTGAGTAAGAAGACTGTCAACCGCAGTTGTCCCCCAGCAGCTTGCATAGCACCCACAGGGGCTGGCACTGTCAAAGCTAATCAACAAGGAGACAGTTTTCAGGTCACTTCTGTCTTGATCTTTCTATGCCCTGCACCAGGGCGTACGATGTATTCAGCAAGAAGGTCTTACCCTGCAGTTCTAATGGGGAACAAACAGAAGCTGTAGAAGCCTGTGTTGCTTGGAGGTCTCAGGGGCCTCTCTGACCGCCAGCTCCTAGGGAGTTAACCGGCTCCTGGCAATAGAATTGTCACTCAGTAAACCTATGGTTTCTGGGAGTAGTTTTGTCCACTCATGTAGAGTACTTTAAAAAATATATTTTATTACTAATTATGTAATCACATAGTCATGGGTTTCATTAGGATTTATTAGAGGCATTGAAGACAGTGGTAATTCAGTGTTTCATTGGGTGTTGTTAGTGATAACTTTAGTGCTGTGTGCTTGCCTGCTCTGCTCCACTTTCCCAGATGACTCTAACTTAGGCCAGTGTGATGAAAAACTAACCACCTCCAGCCCCATCCTCTCTTGCCTCTCTCTTTCCTCCATCCTTTCTTTCCTTATTGTTTTCTCCCATCTCTACTTCAGTCATAGGTAAAGTTTGATAGTCTGCGTTCTCTAGCTATAGTGAAAATTACTTCTTGTGAAGTTTTATGTGTTCTTGTTCTAGAGGTATAGATAGAATCAGATTCAAGTAGTCATTTTGTCTACATTCACCTTATGTTCCAGTTAATGTTTGTTTTTCATTTTTAATTTTTGCTTTTTCCATGCTGGAGACCAAACCCTTTCATATATTGAGTCAAACCCCCAAACCCAGTGCCTGCTCTGTTCCAGGGAGAGTGAATGTTAGAGGAACCTGAGACTGATTCCTGCCGGGGTCTCTGTTGTAATCCAGAGCTGCTATGGATGAGTGGACCTGAGTATCACATGTTTAACAAAATATGGGACCTTATTTGTACCAAACAATGGGAACAGGATTTAAACTCTCCCAAACCTATTATCGACTTCGAGAACTTGGACCAGAGGATATGAATGCATGAGACAGATAGCAGCGGACACTGAGTTACGGAGTCACAGTGTCGTGGAGCAGAAGGCATGCAGGTGCAGAGATGAGGAGGTTCGCAGAGGCGAAGGGCCTGCAGAGTAAGAAGAGGGAAATGGTGATGGTATCTTTGGAGGGATGAGAGAATGGGTCAGGAAGAGCAAGCGCCAAACACACCAATGGAAATAGAATTTCTGGCTTTCAGACTTCCAGGAGGCCATCTTGAATCTCTTCCAACAGTGATGTCTGCATGACTCTATTCTGTCATTGTGATATTTTTACTCTTGGAATGTGTGTGTGTGTGTGTGTGTATGCGTGCGTGTGCATACACGTGTGTATGTGTGTATTTCTGTTTCTTGCAACAAATTAATTTCTAATAGCAATCATTCAGCTTTTGAACATGATGATCCCTAGTAAATGTTTATTGTACTACTCAAAGATTTGGGATGATTTGACAAGGATGAATGATTAAATCAACTATAAGAATTTTGGATCTGAGTGGTACCCAAGAGGAATGTTTAGCTTAAATTCTCCAGTTTTAGAGAACAGGAAAACTATTTGCTAAACTTTTACAGTAGTTACAGACTGCACTAGACTAGAACTGTGACTCCTGTTAGCACTCTGACTATCAATGCCTGTGTGGGCTGAGGGTGCAGCTCCTGGGCTGAGGGTGCAGCTCCTGGGCTGAGGGTTCAGCTCCTGGGCTTGAGGGTGCAGCTCCTGGGACTCAGGCTTTCTTTGGTCCACAGGATGTACCTTTATTTGAACTTGATTCTTCACAGATCTGAGAAGGAAAATCAAAGAGGTACAGCCCTGAAGGGAGAATGCCTGTGACAACTGGGGCAGAAGTCGGAGGAATGTGACTATAAGCCAAGAACACTAAGGCCCAAGAGCTACCACCAGAGGGAAGAGGCTGGAAGGCTCGTGCAGGCCTCATAGGCTGTGGCCCTGCTGACCCAGATTTCGTGCTGCTTCTTTACTATAAAGATGTTCTTCCATTTTAGAGTCTAGTTGGGGTTTTGATCCTACTTCATGTTCTGGCTTGATGGGAGCCTAGCCAGTTTGGATGTTCACCTTCCTAGACATGGACGGAGGGGGGAGGACCTTGGACTTTCCACAGGGCAGGGAACCATGACTGCTCTTTGGATAGGAGAGGGAG